GCGGGAGAGAGAAAGAAAAGGAAAGAGAAGGGAAAGCTTGATTTCGGAGGTCGCAAAGCGCTTTTCGTCCGACGACGTAGTTGAAAGATTTGTTCGTCTTACAGTAAGGAATCCGAATCCTATTTCTGATTTCGAAGATTTTGAGTTTTGGTATTTTTCTGCTCAATTTTGTGTTTCCATTACCGAAAATGTGCATATCTTTGTATTAACAAAACTTTTACCGCGTAACTTTTGGTATGTTATTGAAATGATGATTTTGCACTATTTGAGTATTTTCTGGAAAGTTTTCACCATGTATTTTGAGTTCTGAGCTATTTTTATCGAATAGAAAATTATCAGGCTGTTGAAAAATAGCGCTTCAGTATAAGTAAAGTTTTGAATCGTTGTTTAATTCATTTTTTTGTAATTTGGTAGTTTTCTGAAACTGTGTATTTTGACTCTGTTTGTGATTTCTATCGATCGTACGATATTTTGAGGATTTTCTTCTTTTGAGTTAAATTGCATTTTTTATTGCCAGGTATTAATCATATGCATATGAATGTGATTATATGATTGAAATACTGTTATATTACTGAAAGACAAGTAAAGACTGGTTGAACCGTTGGTTGGAGATGTGATTTACCTGTACAGGATGTTGGGCCGACGGGCTTTCCTTTAAAAAGGATTTGGTGTTATCCTCTATTGATCACGTGATACAACGATTGGGAATCATAAGGAGATTATGCTGACGGGCTGCCAACGGGTAAAGAGTGACGACTCTACTGAGCCAACAAATTACTAACATCGATACTAACCTTGAAAAACTCCTTAATAGCCAGTGATTGTACTTGTTAAGTAAGACTATTGTATTGTATTGCATGTGTACAATATTATTTTTTATGATTTCATAATGGATTTACTGATTTATTGATATCGGCGGATTTATTGATATTGAATAGAATTACTGACGGATTTATGAGTTTACTGTCACTGTACGATTTCATTGATATTGCATTGATTCATTGATACTATAGATACGGATACTGATACTATTGATCCACTGATACATGGATTCATTATACTGATCTTATAGCACGTGATACACTGAATAAGATACTGCATTGATTCATTGATACTACCGATACTACTGATTCATTGCACTGATCTTATAGCTCGTTATACACTGAACAAGATATATGTGATTCATGTGATGTACCAAGCATGTGATATAGAGTATGAGTTTACTATATCAATTGATTTGATTGATTTAATTATTCTTATTGATTTCTTGATTTGATTAATTTATATGATTTTACCGGAATTGATTTCTTTAATGATCTGATTAATTCTATTGATATGAATGGGTAATGCTAATCGTATTTAATTTGACGGACTTATTAGTACTGATTCATTTACTGTGATTCGTTTACTGAGGATTTATCTTTACTGTACAGATTTACTGTTACTACATGATTTCACTGTTATAACATAATCGTTCCTGTCATCACTAGATTGTTACTGATATTGATACATACGCTGCTGCTACTATTTCACTATACTGACGTTATGCACGTGATATACTGAGCAAGTGACATGTGATTCACTGAACATGTGATATCGATTACTGGGTTGTATATAATTTATTGAGCAAGTAATAAATAACTGGAATTTACAAGTGTATGTTTTGTTATAGACTGATGTGATAGATAAGACGACTACTGTAGAGATTTGATGCATGTACTGATTTATTGAACATTATGGATTTTCTACTGTTCACTTATTCTATCACTGATGATTTTGGATTCTATTATTTATGCATTGATTTATGTTTATGTATCGATACTGTTTATACATTGATTTTTGTTACTGTATTGATTACTGTTTCTGTATTGATTTCCATACCTGCATCGATTCAATGATCATGTGCAAGTGGTTAATATTGATTTGGTTGATTTACATGTATATTGTTTCTGTATCGTGCTTTGATTACAGTTGTAGGTTTTTGGTGATCTGCTGAGTTTTTTTAAGCTCATTATATGTGGTTAATGATTTCAGGTGCAGAGCCTCCCGTGTGAAGCTTCTTTTAGACACTAGTATAGCTTTTCGTAGTTTTTGGTTCATGCTTCGTTTTGTAGCAGGAGTGGCTATTGTACATGTTCTTTTGGACACTACTTTTGGATTGTAAATACGTAATGCCAAAATGTGAATTATAGTATTTTGATGTATTTATTTTCTTTAATGCAATTATCATTTCTGGATGTCTGTATTGATCTGATTAAAAGAGAGAAAAAAAAAAAGAAGAATGTCAGATGAATCCTTTCACTATAGATGTCTGGGACGTCACATGTAACAATTTTAACCATTCTACGCCGGGTAGAATTTGGGTTAAATGGGATGCTGCTCATGTGTCTTTCACTTCGTCCTTCTCTTCTTCACAACTCATTCACGGGCTGGTTGGTGTTGGTTCCTTGCCCCCTTTCTACATGACTGTAGTTTATGCTGCCAATACTGTGGAAGAACGGAAAGAGCTATGGAAAGTTCTTGACATCTCTTCTAATTTGAATACCCTGTGGATTATAATGGGTGACTTCAATTGTTTTAGGTTTGACGGTGAAAAAGCTGGAGGAATTCATTTGTCTAATGATAGGTTGGGAGAACTTAATAATTTTGTTTTTGATGCTGGGGTCCAGGACCTTGCATCTGCAGGGTTATTTTTCACTTGATTTAATCAAAGGAGCGATGATCCTTTTCATATAGAACTGGACAGAATGTTGGTCAATTCTGCCTTCTTGGACTCTTTCCCAACAGTGTTTTATAAAGTGGACTCCTTCTCGGGTTCAGATCATGCTCCCCTTATCCTTAACGCCTCTCTTTTCAGGAAAACTACTTCCAGGTTCACGTTCAAGGACTTTTGGACCAAATTTGACAATTTTTGGGATTTAACTCAAAGGGCTTTTGAAAGATCGATTAGTGCAAGCCCAATAGCTGTCTTTATGATTGCTTGAGATCTCTCAAAAGAGATATTCGTAGGAATAATTGGAATTCTTCTAACTTCCTCTCCAACTGCATTCTTGAGTTAAAAAATGCCCATCTTACTTGTCTATCTGATATTGAAAAAGATCCTTTAAACACAGCTTTAAACACCCATCTCAAGCATACTAGCAACAAGTTGGCTCTTTTTCAATCTGCTTGGTACTCTTGGATCTCACAAAGGGTTAAAGCCTACTGTCTTTCCCAAGGAGAGCATGATCTTGATTTTCTTTATGCCAAGATTAAATCGAGGAAGAATAGGAATGTGATTAAAGAGCTTTCTACTCCTACTGGAGTACTTACTTCTCATGATGACATGGCCAACGCTCAAAGTTAAATTCCTTTCTTTTGCAGGTCGAGTGCAATACCTCAAATTCACTATTGCGTACTGGATTCGGGAAGCTATCATACCCAAAGCGTGTTGTAAATTCTTATCTAGAATTTGCTCCAAATTTCTTTTCTTTGGGAACACTTTGGATAAGAAAATGCATCTTATTTCTTGAAGGTCGGTTACTATGCCTAAAAGCAAATGGGGTCTTGGGCTGCCGTCTTTCGATTCTCTCTATCACAACATGGCTTGCTCCTTTATCTTTAAAATGTATAATCATGGCTCGTTAGTTGGCTCTTGGTTTAGGGAGAAGTTTAACTCCCCATGGAAGCCTCCCCCTACTACTGCATCTAAATTTTGGAAACTGTTTTGTAAAACTATTGTTGCTATAAAACCTGTTGTTTCTCTCTCGGTCCACCAAAACTATAAACTTTCTTTCTTATGGGATCCCTGGTGTAACAATGGCACAGTGGCTGAACTGATTGATTCAAATAGGAATTCTCACCTTTGGGTTGGGGATTTTATTTCTTAAAACTGTTGGACTCTTCCGGATTTCATTCCTGAACATGTTAAGCACATTATTAACAGTAAGGTGATTGTTGGGGATGGTCCTATGTTGACCTGGACTGCTACTTCTAACCCTTCCAACAAGATCTTTTCTGAATTTTTTCATTCTAATTTAGAGGATGTTCCTTGGTTCAAATTCATTTGGCATAAAGGCTATGCCTTGCAGTATGCCTCTTACTCTTAGATGGCTGTTAAAAGGAAACTTAAGATGGCTAATATTTTGAATATGAGTGGTATTCCAGCTAACCCCGATTGCACTTTTTGACTTGGCAATATGAAATCTCATTCTCATGTTTATTTTGGATGTGCTTACTCTTTCTTACTTCTCACTGCACTTTTTCCTAATTTGGTTAAATTTTTTTTGAGGCCAAATCTAATACAAGTGTTTGATTTCTTTGGGAGCTACCTTAATTTCACCAGAGCTGATAAAAATTTTTGGACTTATATTTTCCTGGAGTGGAATATCAACTAAACCACCTAAATGTTTTAAAATCATAAATTGAAGTATTTATGATATCCAAGATAGGTAGGCTATTCCTTATTTATGAAAGATGAGTTTGCAGTTTAGAAGTTTGAAATTAACATATATTGAATATACAAAGGGGTTTAATGGTACCTAACTAATTTACTTATAAACATTTTTTCTAGCATCTAAATCCAATTATATATGAAAGAAAAAAAAATCAATTATATAAGAAAATTCAGTACCATAACGACCATCTACCAATAAAAGTAAGAAGTTTAATCCCATTGTTTAGGCTGCCCCTCGCTTGTTGCTATCGTGTGTAAGTTATATATATATATATAGGAGCCTAATGTATGTCTAGGCAAAAACATAAGCCAAAAAATAAAATGTGTTAGTGATTATTTCGCTGCAAGTAGACCGGACATAATATTTAGTGTGTGCCAATGTGCTCATTTTCAAGCTGATGTTAACGAGTCTCACTTAACTGTGGTCAAGAGAATCCAATAGGGTTTGGATCTAAACATTCGCTTAACATAGTAACATTAGAAAAAAGCATAAGCAACTCTTATCATCGAACATAAGCACTGCCACTCCCATCTAAAACTTCAAAAGATTTTGCTTCTTCATCGGTTATCCCTCCTTGCTTGTGTACCGGGGTTTGTCATATGTGGGCCTGTTTTGAGCTCTCTGTAGGCGCTGGCTCAACGCTTCCTGCCGCTCAGGAGACCTCTTCACAATTTGTCCATTCACAAACAACTCACCTGCAAAAGGTATTAAGGAAAACAAGTAGGATAAATATAGATTAATAGTTTCTTTTCTTTGATACAAAAAGATCTATTTATGTTAAGGGAATGGTAGGCAAGAATAACGCTACCTTTCCCTAAGAATAAAACAATTACAAGACTAAAAAGCCTTAACAACAAAATCTCTGGCAATCTCGCCTACAAATATTTATCAATGAAGCAGCACTCTATAAATATTCCAATAGAACCCGACTTATTTATCCTTTAAAATATCATTTTTCAATATCATTTCAAAAGAAAATATTAAATAATAATTAATAAATTAATTTATCAAAAAAAATTCTTAGCGTATATGAAATTAGGAGATAAATTAGTTATTATTTCACACCATAAGTGTATAAAAATACTAAAAAGTCAATAAACATGAAACAGCAATCGCACTACATGACTTATTTGCAACTCAACCCACTTACATTGAATGCAAGCATAAATAAATAAATAAATAAAACCGTGCTTAAATTCTTAATGTAGAATTTAACTCGGTAAATTTATTTAACACCAGCATAAGATAAAATCAACTAATAAATAAGGCAAATAAATTGTTTACTTTTTAAAAGCAAATTATTTTCCCTCAACTTAAATTATAGATGCAATATTACTACACTACCTCAGAATATAATAAACTAAAACCAAGCAAATTTTACACTAGATAAAGTGAGGTATCAAAGATATATACGAGCCATATAAAAAGTTCAACGAGTGGCTGTGCCTTCCTCGTTTGTCAGGCAAGGGTTAAGGGGCCCTTTAGCATGCATGATCATTGGTTGACTTCCAACTACTTACCACTTTATTATTATATCTAAGGTGTCATGGTTGCATTCCATGAGCATAAGATGGATTTTCTGGTCACTTTTTGAGTAGGGATAATCATAGAATAATAATGGAGTTCGTTGGCATGCCCAAATTTCTATAATTATAGCATTGCATTGAGATGTCTTGTATTGGTCGACTCAACCAGTAGTTTTAAGAAGTGGGGTTCATGTCTTAGGAGGGGTTGTTCAACAAGCCATCTTGTGGTTTGAAGATCCTTATTGTTGAAAGGCCTGACAAGTTTGCCCCCTTAGTAACAGAGATAGTTAGGACATGAATATTTTTTTGTAGGAGATCTGTGTAATTGCTCGTGTCAGAATTGAGTTAACAATAGGAGATCCAAAATTAATAATAGTCTGCATGCATGTAATTAAGCATGCTTGATACATAGTTATACGCCCCTTAGTAACGGAGATGGTTCGTACATGAATATTGATAGGATATTTATGTGTAATTGCTTGTCTTAGACTGCGTTAAGTGGGGCAATTTGGTGGGTCCCACTTTGAACGTAAATATAGAACCAACAGTTTTCCCACCTATTTCATGTCTCAAGAGGGGCATACATATTCCCGCTCTTTCCTAATGTTCAAGGGGAGAGCCCCACTCCGGTTCTAAATACAACAAGATTGGAAGGCTTTTGAAGAAAGGACAGTTTGTAGAGATGATGGAGGACTTATTTGGGTGTCATAGAGATGTAGAAATATTACTACAGCGTGACTTAGTTTTCGAGAGTGAGTTTCTTTGACCTTAGTTCATCATCGTCGGTGGTGCACATAATTGTTTTGTTTGACGCCTCAGAAAGCCTCGATTGATAGTGTCATCTATGTTTGCCTTTCTATGCCTAAATGGGCTTTTGTGCGTTAAGTTCATGCAAATAGGATTAACATCAATCTTGTTTGAGCTTTTGATAGGTGTCCGTCTGTGAGTGATAATAAATAATTGGTGCTTGTGTCTATTTGAAGCTATGAACTGATTCTAATGTAATCTTTTTTAAAATGTTGGGAGTTTTGGATATCCCTTATGATGCAAGATGTCCTATGATCTAGGATTCTTAATATAACCAGATGAAATGTTAAATGAAATTAAAAAAAAAATCAAATTAAGATTTCTTGATTAATAAATCACCAACTAAAATAAAAATCGCTTTACCTTCGATATGATCTTTAAAGCACAAATAATTTAATAAAGCACAAATACAAAAATAATCAATGAGAAATTGAAACCATTAATAACCACAATTTGATTAAGGATCACCCCACAAGAAATCCAGATGGATTTGATTAAAATAATGCACTGAATTGATGGACACAACTCTGATGTCAATCTACAAGTTTAATGAGCAGTTAAATGATCACCTCTCTGTAATTCCTTTCAAAGAAGCACTGAATCGATGGACACAACTCTGATGTCAATCTACAAGTTTAACTATGCACGGCTAGAAAATGCCATATCTGCTTAACAATAATGAACTAAATAAATTAAATTAGTAATCAATTTTGTGTTTCTCTCCACTGTTGATCAACAACTACATCGCAAGAATTTCTGAAGAAATTAGGAGCAAATTTCCGCAGCATTTATTACTAGATATTGCCACAAAATTTATTCCCAGATATAGGTTTTTTAAGAAGGAAATAAATATTGCTAGGGTAAAAAAAACATTTAAAAATTATCAACAAATGAAATAATCCTAATCATTTCCTCACTTTCTCAAAAAACATGCAACTACACATGACTGGAGGATAGAATAACAAACGAGAACATCTGTCCATACTTGGTATGTCAACTAGACCAAGATGAAGGGATTTGAAAATACACCCAAATGAAATAACACATCTCACCTATATAACTTGCAAAAAAAATTTCTAAGATGCAAATAGACATATCCACCAGTACGTGAAGCTGACCAAAATGCCTCTAAAACAAGCTCAAAATTAAATGATGATATAGTAGACTCTTCTAAAGATAATTGACAAGGAAAACAACAATTATAAATTGCTTGTATCGACGTGCAACTTATGCTATAATAAGGACCTGCAACTTATACTATAATTAGTACCAACGGATACCTAAAACGAAGTCTAATATCAGTCTACTAGCAGCCAAGGATAGACAAAATAAAAAGATCATTAGTTTGCCAAGATGGACATGATAATCAAATACTATACACTACAAGGGTAAGAAGAATAAAAATTAAAGTAATTAAAGTTCTCTTAAAAAAGAAAATAACAAAGGCAAATATAAAAATTATACAAATGGTATTTGAGAAAATACCTCCATAGTCCTGGTTTTCAGCATCAACATAAGAATCTGGGAGCACAAAAAAAACTCCGGGAAGTCCTAAAGTAATGCAAAGGGCCATGAAACAAGTTATTAGTTAAAAGTTTAATTCAAAAATCAGAGCATTTATAAATTTAGAATTTGTGAGAACAGAAAACTGTACAACTAAATTTCCTACTTAAGTGAAAAAAAAGACTAACAAAAACAACCTACATAACATATGCCCGGCTTTCATTGTCCCAAATGGAAATTTTTAAAGAAAACATAGAAATCATTGGGCAGTAAGGTGCCGCATGTTTAAAATAAAAGGAAAGCCCATGTTATTAATACAAAACTTTTCATTGAATCCGATGGAGGATCTATTATGCATTTGCAGATAATAAACTCAAAAGATAATAAAAAAAGATATATATATATTAGTCTTGAAATTAATTTATTATTTCAAACAAAATGATAATTTTTTTCTGAGTGGTCTTCAAAAAACTGGAATTGATTTCAACTTTGAACCAAAGTTTGAATAAGCCGAGATCATCTAATTGAGGAAAATTGATGATTAAAGCAAGCCGGCAGCTGGGGCGAAAAAACGAATAACCTGAGAAGTACCAGATAACGCAAACTACATGAAAATGAAGTACAAAATGAAAGAAAGAAGATGAAAGTTTAGAGAAGGTTGGTCTAGGATATTTCATTGAAATCTTCTTGAAGAAAGACTTTAGACACTTATACCCAACAAACCACAATGATTACATTTGTCATTGATTTACCCAAATTAAGACAAGTATATTCTATTACAAACAAGCTTAACAACTTAAATAAATCAAATTTAAACACCTATCAGCCTACTTACAGCAGCAGCTATGTCTTTCGTGATAGTCTTGCATTCATATTGGTATGTTTCAGTCATGTTGAATCTAGATCATTCAGCTTTTTCGATCATGAAGTTTCACTGCATTACCATCATGATTGGAATGGCCTTGTCCTCATGGCCGAGGTTTGGCCAACATGTAAATTGTTATCAACAATCCATGTTGCATTTGTAGGTGGCAAGCCATCCTATTATATAAGGTGCTGATTATGTGTCTTGTTATCATAAAATAGATGGCCAGAATGAAGCATGTGGATTGGTGTAAGCCCGGGTGATTGGGTGGTCGTTCAAAGTGTCTTGTGGGAATGGGGTTGCACGTAAAGATGTGTTTTCTCTGTAATGTTTTAGCAAGGATACACAGAAGAGTAGATTCTTGAATGACATCATAATTTTGACCTGTAAGCAGCAAGACCTATTCATTCCCGTGTAGCAAAAGTTCCATTAGTTTGGAATATTGTTCATTTGGGATGGATGTTTATCGGAACTATTGCAAGTTTACACTAATTCTCCCACTTGAAGTTCAATGTTTCTTGTGTTTATCAGTTTATTATTTCACGAGCTCAGTATTTCTACATAAATAGCTGCATATTCATTCTTAAAATGCCAAAGGAACACCGAGTAACTAACCTACAAGCTTATCAGATGTTTCCTCGTCAATCTCACACCCGAAGCAAAAGAAGCGTCGGAACGAGACACTGTAGATTTTCTTTGTTGCTTCCTCCTCGCTGAACAGTAAAAAATAACATAATCTTCTTATGCACCCAACCATATAACATGATAAATACATCCCATTGCAAACTAGGACTAAAAAATAAGTAAACATTTTACTGCATAAAAAATAAATACGGTAAAGATAGAATGGAAGTACCACCTTCCAACGACCTTTGCTAGGGTTTTGATGAAGCAATCGATCAATTGCTCCTTGGTGGCGTTCTCCAAGCCTAAATTATCCATAACGATGAACCAATGCTCATAATCGCATCCAGAGAACAGAGGACCCTTCTCAGTTGGTGGGTTACCACTGCATCCACCACCAAAACCCGAGTTGATCGGTGAGCCACCGCCACCTCCGGCTCCAGCTGCCAGTCGTACGGCAGCGTAAGGCATCGGACGACGGCGTATGACATCGACATCACCGACCAGGGGAGAAACAAGACGGATGGGATGCCGGGAAGAGGGAACCGGGTAGTGGAATAAGCGTTTCGAGAGAACTCTGTTTAGTGTTGAGCGGAAAGACCGACCGGCGAAAGCAGAGGCAGCCATCTCAGCAACGGCGGCGAGGGAAGGAACGTATGGTAGAAAAAACCTAATCTTCGTCGTGTTTTCCGGATGCGTTGGGAGATATTTATTCCAGAAATCATTAGGAGTATTGAGTTTCTTTAGAAATTTTACTTATTTTAGTAATTACAAATGTCCTGTTTTTATAAAAATTTTAAATTTTTATTCTAATCAAATTTTTTTATTTTTAAAATAAATAATATTGAATTTATTGAATTCAAATTTATCTGTGGGCTACAAATGATCTTACTAGTACATCTACTTAGAAAACAAATAAACCTATAAGTACAATTGGAGAGCATAAAAGAAAAAAGAAAAAGAAAAATATGGGATGACAAAGATATCGGTCTAAAAGAAAATTCTATACTAGCCCAAGAGACATTTTCTAAAAAATTTCTTGTGTTATTGCAATACCTACTATCATTTATTTATTGAATTTTGGAGGTTACAAAGGGCTACATAGCGAAATATAGAAATACAATGCTACACCATACTATACTTGTGTGATGTGTCACCCTCTGATTGGTGGGAAAGTTAGGTTGGAAGCTTCATCTATCGAATGAAGCAATACCGAGATAGTATAAGCAAAGTTTGCGGGTAATATTTTTTACTTGGCTTATGCATTTTGTTGATGATATTCTTCTGATTGATGAGTCTAGAGAGAAATTTGATTTTAATATCTGCAGTTGAGATTAATATTTTTTTCTAGACATTTGCTTGCTTTAGTTATAGATGTTCTCACTAGACATTTGGAAGAGAATAAACCTTGGTATATAGTTTTTTTTTATGATATTTTTTTTTGTTGATAAGACTTGAGAGGGAGTTGAAGGTAAACTTGAATCAACCTTAAAGTCTATAGGTTTTCGCATGAGCAGATCTAAAACTAGTATATGGAGTATAGTTTTAGTAGTAATTGACCTAGTTGAGGAATTTTGACTTTGGGTGATGAACTCATTAATAAAAGTACACGTTTTTGATATCTTTGATCTATTTATGGTGAAATATATAGGAATATTATTGTAGAATTCAAGTTGGATGGTTGAAGTGAAGGAATGCATTGGGCTTGTTGTGTGATAGAAAAGCCTCCTCAAACTTAAGGGAAAATAATATATGATGTTGGTGAGACCTGCAATGCTTTATGGTGCAGAACATTGACCAATAAAAGAGAAGCATAATATTATGTTAAGTGTTACAAAGATAAAGATGCTCAAGTGGATGAGTGGATTTACCCTTAATATATAAGATACGAAAAGAGCATATATGTGAAAAGGTTGGAGTAGCTCCAATGGAAGAAAATATTAGAGAGAGTCGTCATAGATACTTTGGTCACATAAAATGACATCCTTCATATTATATATACTAAATTTTGAGAAGCATGGGTCGACTCGCATGCGAGAAATATTTACAGACATTAGAAAATCAGACGAGCAACCACTCTAGATTGGTGAGTGTATGGGCTGAGTTAAACAGTGCTTGGGTAGCCCAGAGTACACCAAGAGGAGAGATCAGAATAAACAGAACAAAGCTTCTGATGTTGGGGGATTGGATAGTTCCCTTCATACTAGGGATTCAGTTCCTCATATTGAGCACATGTGACATTTAGTAAGGAATTTTAAAAGATTTTAAAATTTTACTTTATTATGAATACTAATATAAGTCAATTATAGAAAGCGGTGTTGGGTAGAGAATCAACACCTATTGAATCGCATAATCATACCCACAAGCAGTAGGAGGACCAACAATAGGTTGACGAGCGAGCGAGGAAATCCTACATAAGTGTATAATTTTATTATTTTGCATGTCATATTTAAATTGCTTAAATTTTATTAACATTCATAGGAGGAGTATACAAGGCTTTGAGAGAGCCTGATTGCAGCTAGTGAAGGTTCTTCTAGCAGATCAACATAATATTCTAACAACCGTATTGGGTCTCAAGTAATAGGAGGAATGCAACATGATAGGGTTTATTGTATAGGCTCATTAGTCTATGTGTACAATAGGCAGACATCTAGTGGATCCAGCTTCTCAACACCTACCAAAGAGTCCTTATATATCCGATAGATACATGCCCTTACAACTGAGCTAGAGTAGGATAGGAAAGCATAAGTAGATTGGGAGATACAGATGCAGATGTAGCTGCAGCAAACTTAGTTGTTGGATGAAATGCAAAAAATGGGGGAGCAATTAAGTGGAAAGAATAAAGTTTCAGTAGAGGAGATTGAATCAGATTAATTATATTGTACTTTTTTCTGGATATCTGTAACTATTTATTTTTGGACATATATACTTATTTATATTATTGGACAATTGCACTTAAATGTTTTTGAACATTTGTATAGTTTTGAACATTTTGTTGATGATATTTTTCTTGTTTTTTTGTTTATATTTATCTGTTTAATGTTCAATATTTGGTGGTCTTTGATTAATGATTTATTTTTGAATGTATATAATATTAAAATTTTTGTATGCAAGTTATTGTAGAAATTAGTTTTCTTAGCTCGAAGATTATTATTTTTTTATTATGGTACATGTTTTTGGTGGATATTCTATAAAAAATTCTGCCGCCAATATGACACAACAAAAATGGAGGTGTTATTCTGGTGTATCTTTACACCGGTAATTACAACGGATAATCTGCTGGTCCAATCCGTCGATAGTATTGCGACGAATAATGTCGGTAGATTATACGCCAAAATTTCTGGTGTAAAGATACATCGGTAAAACAAGCGGATTTAATGCCAAGATATGTCAATGAAAGTTGACGTAATAACATCATTTTTTTGTCGAAATTGCATCAGAAACTCTGTCAAAAAATATGTTCGAAGAAAAGGTTTTGTCGGTATAGATTTTTTATGCGTGAATTACCGTTGGATGAATTTTTTTCAGAATTCACCAGAAAATGTTAATTTCCTTTTTATTTTCATTGTTACCGATAAATTTTGTCTGTTGGTAACAAATCATTTTCCTGCAGTGCTTATAAGATTGGCATTTTTTATTCCTCGAGGGAATGAGACTTTTCTCAATAATTATATTGCTTGTACAAAATGTGCACTTGTGTAATATTATATTTGCAAAAGAGTGATCAAGCATTTGGTGTCATTGTCGATGAATTGATGCCTAATTTTATTGAGTTAACATTTATTTGAAATTTACAAATTTGATCTTTCTTATTTGCTTTGCTTTATTCTTATTAGTCTGTATAATTATGATTTTATTTAATATAACTCCTTGTTTAAAAAATATGGATTAATTATTATGTGTGGAGTATTTTTCTTTCCCAGTGGTAGGTGTTGTATGCATAGGAGATAACATTTTCTATTGTAATCTTTGATTCCAAATTTGAGAAAACCCTTAACATTAAAAAAGTCCAAAAAAAAAAACTAAAAAACATCTAAACCCATGGTTGATCAAATACCAGAGATAATACAACCTTGGCCACTTAGAGAATATGTTAATCCACTAGTAGATGGAATCCAACAAAGCATCAGTATACCTGATATTCAAGAAAAAAAATTTGAACTAAAATTTGTCATAATTTAGATGGTCCAAAACTCACAGTTTGGGGGATCTCCTATTGAGGATCCTACTTTTATATTGATAGTATTTAAGGGATTTCTGTAACCTTTAAATACAATGGTGTCTCTGGCAATGCTATTAGATTAAGGTTGTTTTCATTTTATCTCAGAGATAAGGCAAAATTATTATTGAATTCCTAGCTTCTAGGTTATATAAAAATTCCTAGCTATATATATTTTTCTATCAAAAACTACTAAGCTTAAAAATGACATCACATCCTTTACATAATTAGATAGGGAGTCAATTTATGAACCATGGAAAATATTTGAGTTATTTATAAAGTGTCCTCACCACGCCCTACCTGATTGATTAATTATTCAAACATTCTATGATGGGTTGGTAGGTTCACTTAGGTCCATTATAGATGCTAGTGTAGGAGGGTCCGTAAAGTTTAAACCATTTAATGAAGCATATTCTTTAATTGAGGGTATGACAATGAATCACTTTCAATGGCCTTCTGATTAAGTCCACTTTCAATGGCCTTCTGATTAAGTCCACCCCAAAAGGTATTCTTTAATATCATCCTCACACAAAGGAATCTCCAAAGAACAATCCAACAATCAATCCTCCACATAATCTTTTACACAATCATTAACTAAATATACTTTTATGATAATCCTCATTTTGGCCACTAGAAAATTTCATTGACATTTAGATGTTAAAGGTCACTTTCTAATATTGCACTCTTATAGTCAATACATTCTTTTGCACATCTATCATGGCCTTACTAGTAGCTAGGAAAGGTCTACATAAGATAATTGGTATCTCCCTATCTTTTTCCATATCTAAGATAATAAAATCTGCAGGGAATAAAAGTTTATCTACCTTAACTAGCACATCCTCTATTACCCCCCTTAAGATAGGTAAATGAACGATCTACTAACTAAAGGGTAATAGTGGTAGGTTTGACCTCTTCTAAATCAAGTCTTTTGAATAGTGCTCTACCACAAAAATTTCCCCTCATAGCCATATGAATGGAAAAACTACCAGGGTCTTTAAGCTTTTGAGGAAGTTTCTTCTATAGAATACTATATTTCTCAATCAACACTATAGTCTCAAAATCTCCTAATCTTCTTTTCTTACTAAGGATATATTTCATTAACTTAGCATAGGAGGGCATCGATTGTAAGGCTTGAACAAATGGAATATTAATAGTTAACTTTTTAAAGATTTTTAGAAACCTTAAGAACTTCTTATCCAAATTATATTTTAACTATTTTTGGGGGAAAAGGTGGTGGTTACTTTTCTACTACTTCTCTAACAGGTTTTTCTTTTTGTTTATCAGTTTGAGTCAGTTTCTTAGGTTGGGGGACTTCTGCTAATTCTTCTATTATTAACACTACTTCAGATTGATCCTTTGTTTTAGTTACATTTTCTAGCTCTTTTCTACTCCTCAATTGAATTGCTTT